GTTGACAATTCGGCGGCAACAGTGTGGAGTGGATGTATCAACATGGTGGATGTAGCTAGATTCTATGTTGCAGCACATGAGGTTTGCCGATTTCATTCAAAATTGCTTAGTCAAAGAAGAATGATTATGTTTATATTCTAGTTTTATTTAACATTTTCCTCTTTGTCCTACATTACAGGTGTCTGGTAGTTCGGTGGACTTAGAAGAAGATCTTAGTACTGAACTGGATATTGTTGGAAGAATAAATCCTGACACAGTGTGGGACTATATTGCAAAAATGAAAAAAACAAGCACTAAAGACATTGTTATTCTCAAACTACAAACTGCAAATGACGAAGAAAAAATGCAATACATTGCGTTATATAGTTACCTAAGTAGTCGCAATAGGTTAGTAATGTATTTAATGAGACCATCTAATATAATATTAATTGAAATAAAAACTAATATCCTTCACCTGACATTCCTATTGAATGAATTTATTTTCCTTACAATAGTCTTTACTACTACTTTTACGGGTGATATTTTATACGCAATTTTCAATTTTAGGTTAGGAGTAGTAAAGGCGTCGAATATGTTGACCGTGAAAGATTTCTATATAGTACCTCTTCCTGCGAACACTTCATTACCTTCGGTTCTCCTGCCTCTAGACGGTCCAGGAATTGGAGACATTAAGACGCATCTCTTGATTGCAATAGTTATTCGACAAAGAAAGAAGCGTTTGACTACCACCATATCGACTGACGTTGTGCCCGCTAAGGTCAGTTCGCCGAATGAAGATTTGTAATGTTAACTGTTGAATAAAAACCATTTGTATTTATTATTTACTTACCATATTTATTTACCACATAAATAAGAAAATGACTGATATGATGTAAATAAAGTTTCTTTTTCCAAACAATAAATTATTTTGAAAAATAATGGTTTTGTACTAGTACTACCTATCGACAGATTTTCAAGTATTAATTTTTTGTAAACTTTGCGTTAATTAGGTGGCACGAGAATCTCGCAAGCGCTCTTACACGCCGCCGGCATCGCCACGAAGGCGACCACAGCTTCCATTGCCGGCTTATTCGTCGTCAAACCTGTCTACTACTGTAAAAGATAAAATTGCTGCTTCATTAGGTATTTATAATTTTTCCGTAATATTTGTTGAAGTACAGTAGCAAATAAGTAAATGTAAGGTAGATTCAAAACGAATAAATTGTGTATTCTAGTTTCTGCGGACGACGATGAACCGTATAGTCCCGGTTCTACAAGTAGCAGTGGCAGTGGTCAAGCATTATCGGGACCAAGTCTAGCTTCCAATACACTCAGAAGTAAAATGGAAGAACTGAATAGGCAAATCGAAGAACAGAAACAACAAATTCGGAAGATGGCTCAAGCAGACTCATCGATTGGCGAGGTAATATTCGATTACTATACATCTCTAGTTAGTTATTATATTGTTATGCCTCATTCATGATATTCCAAAGCAAATTAAAATATTTACGTCATTTTTAATTAGTGGTGATTAATATTAGCAAAAAGTAATGATGTCAATTTTAATTATTGGAAACTAGCTTCTGCCCGCGACTTCGTACGCGCAGTCCCGTCTTCTCCGTTTCAGTAGGATTTTCAGGATTTTTCTGTCTTAAGTAACTTCTCCTAATATGTAATAACAAATACAACAAAAAAAGAATGAAATCGGTCCAGCCATTCACGCCTGATGCCGTGACCAAGGGAACAACGGATTCATTTTTGTATACATAAATTAATGTTATGAAATTGTACTACCTATAATAAGGAAACTGTTTGTTTTGTATACAGGACGAAGCTTACTCTCCGTCGAGGCCCATGACTCCACCTGCAGTTCAAAATGTTCCTTTGGCTGACATTGCCTTACCATCTAACTTGCAGGAAATTTTAGCGACAATCAAGCAAAGGTCAGAGTCATCTGCTGGAGATGTTGACATGCGTGGATTGCCCTTACCATAGTTCATATAAAATGAAATGTATGTACATAATAGTAATAATTTGTGTATGTAATTATAAGCACAAGGTTTCTTCTCAGTGCAGACATTATAATTATGTTTTGTGAATATAGCATTTTATATTATTTTGGTTACATATTATCTTACTGGATGATGGTGTATCCATATTATAATTTATAATTCTACTTTTGTAGATTGTGACAATTTAAATGCATTATCCTAATGTTAGATTATGGAACTTGAGTTAGGAACTGTAGGATTTAAACATAAACTAAATGTGCAAAGCATATTATAAAATATTTTGTGCAATAAGTTACAACACAAATTCCCAGTACATTATATAATTGGATATGAAATAAATGGGGACGGCTGAAAGTTAAAGCTTGTGAATGAAGTTAAATTAATTAGTGTAAAGTACTGAATGTAATAGCATATTATTTTATTTAGTGGGTATATGTATGTCCGAAAATGTTTAGTGTACAAAACCTAGATTATAATTTGTAGTTTTATCACAATTTATTTTATTTTAATTTTTTTTTCATGTTTAAAATCTAAAGTAAGACAAAATAAAGATGTTTTAATTGGTATTTTATATATTTTCGTCATCATACAAAGTCCTCTTAGATCTAACTTTTTTTTCTTTAAATGTAAATGAACCAAAGTGTTTTTCTTTAAAAGATAATCTGTTCAGTTTGGACAGCTTGAAATTTTGCATAACTTCATTTTGTAACTTTGGATTGTGACTTAATTTCTTCTGCATAGCCAATATTTTGGTTTCCATTAGTTTTCTTCTTGGAATATGCCTCAAAGAATACTCCCAGTCACCAGTAAGCTTTAAATCTAACAGAATGGGTACCATATGATTTATATTCAGATTCTTCTTGGATCCTGGGGCCCATTCAAGGTATCTGTCCAATGGTAACTTAGCCATCTTTATTCCATCCCTTTTAGCTTTTGCTAATGAGAGTGGTTCATTATTCACCTACAAGTATAAAACATTTGTTGAAAAATTTGTTAAATTTGATGTTAGGATGTTATGTAAGTTAATAAAAGCTTACCTTGTCAACCATGCATCCTATAATATAAACAGCATCATGATCAAATTTACTAAGCTCTTCTCGACAATGAGGAGTTAAATAAACCAGCTTCTCCTTTGGAAATATATCTAAATAGCTTTCCGTGTGTATATTCAATGGAAACCAAGGTTCATCAAGTGATGGAATATTTTTTCGCATTTGTTTCATAAAGTGTCCACCCATATTGACATTACACATATGCAAATTAAAGGGTTCTTTATGAATTCTGTTGTCACCAAAAACATACGTCAATTGTTTAGCAGCATTTAATGCTTCTTTATAGACCATATAGTCCTCATATGAGCAGTCTATAACAACTGATTGTCCATATGTTAGAGCTTGAAGGGCCCTGCAAAATAATGCAACAAATCAATTCACATTTAATTTCATTTTTCATCATTATGCATGGCATCGCATACATTTATGTTAATGATACAATACCTATAATTGTCAAACTGATTTATGGATTGGTCCCGTATTCGCAAAAACAATGACTGATGTTGTATGCCATATAGAAGGTCATCTTCATGCTCTTTGCTATCTTCAGGTTTTATCACAGGATTGTTAAGTCTCTTAGCTTCTTTCTTCGCCTATAAAATTTTAAAATTAACAAGCTTGATTCAATACCCTTAAAAATGATCATGGCTAATGGAATGCAATGAACCCATCATTTAGATATTAAGATTCCTACTAAATTACATTCTAAGGTTGCACAATAGGATACACAATACACTGACAAATATTTTTGGTAGACATATTTAAACTGTTAAACACCAAGCGGTCACCGGTGACCGCAACCTATTGTTCTATAATTGTGTCTATAATGACGGTACTCGACGAGTTAAATGTATAACATCATGTGAATTAGGTGATAGAAAGAAGGTACCAATATAGCAAGTTATATTATATTGCCAGGTTTTGTCATACCTTGAAATTTTCTCTTGATTTTTCCGTTTTAAACAAATATTGGAGGTAGGAAGCTCGCTGATTTTTTGATGTCAAGCTTAACAAATGTTGCCAGTGATCTTTTTTTATGTTATCCGGAGCATGTCTACCGTCTTGACGCATCACCTCGACTTCCAACATTAAGATCCTTAGTTTCTTTTCAAGTTCAGCATCGCCGTTACATATGTTTTCCACTATTATGTCTGTAAAGGAATTCTATAATTAACCTTTTAAAAGAAAAACTTAAGTGCTCACTAACTATCAATTATCTTGAATAGCTAGCCTTCTAATTACTACACGGTAATGTTAGCAGTTTTCGCTAGGATTCTGACCTGTATCATCTTTTTCAGATGTAAACCATCGTCGTTGTGCTACTGGAAAGTGGTTAACGTTGAATAACGTCTGAGTAGGAATTATTATATTTCTATTTTGGCGAACAACTGATAAAGCTGTTCTTATACAGTGCATCATTTTACTGGCATACAATTGCAAGTATTCTAACAAATATTATGCTCCAAATTTTAAACTATTTAGTGATACTTTTAGGTTAACTCAATTTTAGTTATTTACATAGTTTGACAGTCTTAAGACACATGACATCAAATCAAATGTTGCCAAAATATTTGTGATGGCAGTGTTCATCTGTTTTAATTTTATAGCAAGATTTAAACAAGGAAAGTTATAACCTTACGCAAATAAAGTTAGAACAATTTAAGTATATTAGAATAAACGTACGGATAAATAAGATTGAAGTGTTTATTTGTAATATTAAAATAATCGCATTCTACTATAAAATATCATCTTTCAGAATTTTTGTCTGTCTGTTTGTAATGGTTAATCTTTCGAATTTCGAATGGCTCGCTGGACCGATTTTGATGGGACTTTTATAGGCAGGTAGCTAATGTACTAATTAAATCATAAAAAAGTTATGTCCTACAATTCGTATTCTACGCGGACACGAAGTCGCCGGCAACAGCTAGTAACATATTAGATAGTTTCAGATTTTGTTGGATTTTCTACTGACTGACATTACCTGACTGAAATAAACTGACAGCAGATGATTAGACACCTGACACGAGTCGAAAAATTTTTTGACAAACGTGAAACGTGCTGGTAGGTAATAAGCGTTGCTGTTATGATAGGTTATATTAAAATTAAATAAATGTCAGTGATATTGCTACAAATTGTGCTTTGATAACATTTCGAATTCATAAATTATATGATTTGTCTTTGTTCCAGTTTTAAATTCCGCCTAAAATGGCTATGTCGGCAACAATGTTACGCCGTACTTTGATAAACGGTACATTGTACTCTGCAGTTGCTCTTCGATTTGCATCCTGTCAGCCAGAAAAGAAAGTATTCTTCGATGTTACTGCAGATGGAGAACCTCTAGGACGTATAGTTATAAAACTGGAGACTGATATGGTTCCAAAAACAGCGGAAAACTTTAGGGCCCTGTGCACTGGAGAAAAAGGTTTTGGATACAAGGGTTCCTCTTTCCATAGGATCATTCCCAACTTTATGTGTCAAGGAGGTGATTTCACCAACCATAATGGCACTGGTGGAAAGTCTATTTATGGACGTGTTTTCCAAGACGAAAATTTCAAACTGAAGCACACTGGCCCAGGAATATTATCGATGGCTAATGCGGGCCCTAATACTAACGGATCTCAATTCTTTATTACAACTGTGCCAACTCCCTGGCTTGATAGGAAACATGTAGTGTTTGGTGCTGTGGTAGAGGGTATGGATGTTGTATCTAAAATGGAAAGTTTGGGATCTGCAAGTGGAAAGCCTACAAAAAAGGTTACCATTACCGAGTGTGGTGAGTTAGATTAAATAAGTATTTCATCAGTTGTAAATACCGGTTTTAGTTATGTTGTTAGTATTGTATGTATGAGATAATATCAATAGGTATTGATTGTAGTTGTAAGTAGAATGTAGATGTGAGTAGAATAACAGATCATGTAAAAAGAAAATGTTGTATTATTTGTCCTTTCTTCCTTACCTGTAGTTTATTCAATAGATTAATATATTTTTTTATTTAAATGTTGCACACAGGTGACTTTCGTGAAGAAATTGGTATTAAAGAAGCTGCTCAGTGAATGAATAAACTATGAATTTTAGTTTTTTTTTCATGTAATTCAACATGTGTTGTTTTTAGTTTTATTAGAAATGATGATGAGATTAAAAGGTAATAATTAAAAACCTTTTAAAATAAGTATGCAATTTTATTAATCACTAAATGCAACAAATTAGGAGTTGCTATTATCAAACCTGTCTGGGTGATTGACATAACAACTTATTCAAATACATCTAAGTCAGTATCAATATCAAGTCTTAAGATCTATTGTAGTAATAAGGCATTTTTCATTAAAACACTCTCTTTCATATCAAACTATTAACCTCTCTTAACAATATGTGACAAAAATTTACACAAGACAACATTCCTGTCTTTTACATTTATCTGAGATAAAATATATTGCTTTAAAATACATGTTCATTTATAATTAACATATTAATGGACAGTGAACATTGCTCTATAGAAGTTACATTAGTACTTCTATTGTCCATCAGTGTTAAATAATATAGTTAGTAATTGAATTCTTATACCAGCAGCCTGAGAATTGACATTTTAACACCTCAAAATAGTATTTAAAAACAAGTCTTTTGGACATCAAATTCATATGCAAGTTTTTAGGTTTAATTAGTGTAGACTTTGAACTAAGGCAGTTTGGAATATTTGTGGAAATACTAAATTAAAAGTAATATACTGGACATTAGCTGTCCAAAATAAACAATTACTTATAAAACTTTAATACATAAAAACCAGAATTTGTAAAATTTGGACCGTAAGTGGCATGCATAGAACATTAATTGCACTAGTAGACATAAGTTCATAAAATAGGATCACAATACATAATAAAATTACTAGAAATAAATATTTACAAAAATCAAAGATGCATTAAAAGTAAATTTAATATTGTTATCAATTATTCACATTTGGTTGCAATATTCATTCCTTCCTTTCGTTTGAGATCATGGCTTTTGTTTCTCACTCAAAATATATGTAACCATTCCAATTTTGATTAGCAGTTTTGATAGTCTATGCTCCAGTTTAGTAACATTTTATTTTATCATAATAGTAAGAGGAATGTTAACAGTAACATTAACTGCAATGTAGAAATTAGTAGGCAAGCATATTATGACCACCATTACAGAAATTAATAGAAGCTTTGTGCTGATAGAAAATTGATTAAAGTGAGTGCACTTCAATATTGCAGTACATTTTACGCATTACTAATATTTTTGTCTATTATGAACTCACTTCACTCTTACTACCGTCTACATTTGTGATTTTTAACAGCCAGTAAATTTTGACTAATGAAAGAATATACACAAATAATTAATTCAAACAAAAACACCCCTTTTTACATAGCAACATTAGTTATTAAAATGTACACATCAATTAATTGAATTTAAATTAATGTACTTGAATCTTAAGTACAACATAAAATAGTTTTCTCGTAGGGTAGTATGCATCTTGATAGTAGAAAATAAGTTTACATTTAAATTTAACTACATAATTACATTTTACAATATTAAAACCTTAATTGGGAGTGATGCGAGTATTTATTTGTATTACTTTAATGTTAAAACAACAGTCAGTTATCACACTACATGATTTATGAAACATTACGATCCTACATGTTGTAGCTTCATAAGTCATTCATTACTAGAACACTAGTTAGCTGCAGAAGCGAAAGTTTTTTATTTCCAGAAAGCAATTGAAACTACATATAAGATATGATTTGAAATCACTCATAATTCTTTACTATTTGCTAAATTTAGAATAAGTGTAGTTCATTTTAAACTTACACATGTTAATGTTATCACTCAGTTGTGCACAATGGTAGTAAGCAAATGTTCACACTCTGTTCTTTCACTCAACTGAGATTCAGTTCCGGCACTATATTGTACATATATTAAGCTATCGTTCATTTCACACACACGGATCCAGCCGAGTCGATGCTAGATGATCTACACTTCGACCCTTTTGCATCTGTAAACTAAGCTCGTTCGGTTCCATCGTGATGTGATGCGAAGAGGTGCGCTTGTGCTTTGTTTCTGGCATCTTAGAGTCCTTGGAGCTAGTCCGGCGGTGGCGCAGTACCCCACCGGTGTCGATGAGACGCTTGCTCTCTTCGTCTGCGCAGCGCGCCAGCGGCAGCACGGTGAGGTCCAGGCTCTCCATGCTCTTCAGCGCCAACTGCTTGAGCTGGTCCAGGCTCAGGTCACGCGAATCCGAGCGCGAGTGCACCTTGAAGTCCCGCGAGCCGGAGCGCGAGTGCGCGGGCAGGTCGCGCGACGCGGAGCGCGGGAAGTCGCGGCGCGAGTCACGCGAGTCCCGCGAGTCTCGCGAGTCTCGCGAGTCGCTGCGCACGGCGCGGTTGCGCTCGGGCTCGTCAAGCGAATGCTGGCGCGCACGCGGCTCCAGTTGTATGGTCTTGGAGTCGTTGCGCAAGTGTCGGGAGGCGACGAGGACGCGGGAGTTCTTCCCGCTGGGCCCTCGTGTCTGCGAATCCTCAGAGTATTGAGACTCGGTACGTTGCAGTTTGGGTCGATACGGGTCGTGAGCGTCGCCACCTCCTGTCGGGGGCTCCATCGGTGTCGTAGTGGCCGAGCTTACACCTGACATGACACCTGACCGGAAGCCACTCGCGTTGTCTGCAGATGGAAGTTCTTCGAAAACTGAAAAGGGATAAAAATATCTTTAGACCTAATAAAATAACTTGGTATGTAATTAGTTGCTGGAAGTAAGTAACAAACGGAATCTGTCATACGTTTGTCGAGACTGATGATGGAGCCGGCGATGTCTTTGTGAGGATCAAGTGGAGGAGCAGTTTCCAAGTGTCGTCGACGTCGCACGAGCCACCAGTCGGCCATGAATATCCCCAGCGCCACAATCTTAATACCACCGCACAGTCCAACGTATCTGTATAAAAACAACACCAATTTAAGCACATAACAAATAAAACAACTTTATAGATTACAGTAGTTTAGCATTACTTTGATTCTTTTAAAATTGAACATAATATCATTTTTTTTTTAAGGGGGGAAATCATCGAATGACTGCTCCCGCCTGGGTGAGGCGGAAGGGAGTGTCAGACTCTTACTGACTAAAAACCACCCCGTTCCTTCTGCACGTCGAGCCGGAGCCCCGGTTACCCGTTAGGTTCTCCGCGACAACATAATATCATTATGGTTGCATTAAGTGCTGTAATGTGCACCTCTGCCTACTCCTTCGAGGGTAAAAGGCGTGATGTTATGTTCATATAATTGCTTATTTATTATACTATCTGTAGAAATATAGGTATACATGTACATATTATTTGTGGAAAGTGCATGATACCTGTATCTGAACTGTTCTATATCGTAGAGCAGACACCGGCCACCCTTTTCTCCGCTGCAGGACTGTTTCCACAGTAGGCACGTCGAGTCAATGAGATTACCGAACACGATAGGAGCAGGAATATACCCGAACAGACGGAATATCACGAACTGCATGCCCAGTGCGAATGAACGTTCTTCTTCGCTCACCGACCTTTATAAACAAAAAAATAAGAATATATATACTTAAACGCTGTTAGTTTCAATAAATTCAATTTATCTAATGATAGATTAGTATAGTGGTAGATGATATAAAGATATAACTAATAAAGACGAAAAATGTTTTTATTACGATTAGAAAACGTTACCTTAGGACGATCATCAGAAGCGGCATTTGCGTAACGGCGACGACGAATGTCATGAAGAAGAGTAGCACGAGGAAGGGGAAGATGGTGGTACAGGGAGGGTTGCAGGCGCCGGCCGTGGCCACCGGCACCACCGTGACCTCGGAGTAGTCGGGCGCGCCCCCCCCCGCCCCGCGCAGCGCCGCCGCCGCCGCGCCCTCCACCACCACGCCCCCCACCGCCCCCACTCCCCCCACCCCGCGACTGTTCTCGTGCACACCTGTACATACTCACATTTCAATCTACATATTAAACTACAATTATTGAAATTGTCACATAAAGATAGGAAATCTAGAGACCTAGTTTTGTCAGTCATTCTAATTAAAAGTACAACACGCCGCGTCGTTTATATTTAACGACTGTACTTAAGATCCACAAATGTGACATCATACTGTTTATGAGAGAAAAACAACAATATTCGTATTCCGTAAAGTGAACTTACATGCGCAGTTAGTAAAGTTGGAGCGCGAGGAGAAGGCGGCGCAGCCCGCGTGGCACGGCGAGAAGTACGTCAGCCCGTTGTTACCGCATACTGGCTCCATGTCTGTCTCCGTGCATAGGCAGTTGAAATTGCACGCCGCCGTCAGATTCACTTTAAAAGGTTCCAAATTGCTGTGAAAAAATATCATATAAATAAATCACAAATTATGATATTTATGGAAAATTTTAATTTCAAGCCACATAGACAGGACTTATAATAGGACCTAGAAAATTAATTTTACCTATGATTAGTATACGGTATGGTAGTTCCAGCCATCTTAATGTTGTCGCAGCCGAGGAAGAACAGCAGAGCGTAACAAGAGAGACAGATAGTGTTTGATATGAGCACGAACTGAACGGCGCCTTTGGGACGAAGCTCCAGCCGTTTTAGTAGGCAGCCACCCATGAAAATACCGATGCAGGCACCCGGGATAGCGATGGAACCTGTAAAAACATGTACAAGTCAGAAACGAGAGGACCTACAATTATTGAATAACTAGGTAATCCAAAAAATACTACATGCCTTCATTGTATCTCTGCTGATGTGAATTGTCTCAATACAAAACATGAATGATTACAGGAGACGTAAGGATTGATTTGACTCGAATTGAAGAGTAAACTATTACGATTAAGATTATACTACAATTAAAGTGTTGTCATCAATTTTAATTTAATTACAAAATTAAATAATGGTTAATTAAAAT